AGGCACTGCTAGGAAAGGATCTGGGTTTTCCAGGTGCTCCCAGGAGAGGAAGAGCAATGATCTGAAGGTGGAAAGTGACCACAAGGAGGTCAACCCAGGCTTCTGATCAAACGGGGGGTGTGAGGGGGCAAAATGTCAACTCCAGAGATGGTTGCCCAGGAAGCAGGGACCACGGGTGAAGTGAGGGGACACTCAGAAAAGAGAGAGAGAAGAGTATTCTGGGTGTAGGGGGAAGAGAGGCCCCAGGACAAAGGAGCACAGAGGCACAATGATGAGGATGGACTGGCTCTATGGTGACATTGCAGGGATGGCTGGATCTTTTTCCTGAGGGCTTAGTTTGGGGGGGCAACTGGCCTCATGAGAACTCCCCTCTCAGCAGCCTGGACAGATGCTCCCACTCTTGAGAGCTGTGTGGCCACCACTGTTCCCAGAGGGGCTCTGTCTCCATCTTCTTTCAGACTTTCCTGCCCAGCCCCCGACTGCCAGCGAGGGAGCCTGGGCCTCATGGCTGTTTGCCGTGGAGGGACACAGGCTCCTTGGAGAAGCAGGCTGATCTTATTTTTCTCCATAACCCAGGGCCTAGAAAAGCGCCAGCATAAGGGTGGGCCATTCAAAGGCTCGGATACTTGCTAAATTAACTCAAAGCAGTAGAATAGCAGAGCTGGAGGAAGTGACCACTGAGCTCACAGAGTTCACTGCCCACACCCCCATTCTACAGATGATGAAACAGAGACCAAGCGATGAAGCAGCCTTGGCCAAGGTCACGCTGCTCCTTAATGCTGGCCTGTGTCGGGCATGCCAAGTGATGAGCTGCAGTGAAGGGGCTGAGAGGGGGCTCTAGGGCCAGACAGCTTGGGTTCAAGTCCCAGCTCTGCCATTTACTAGCTGTGGGATTAATGACTGTCCTTCCTGTAAAGTGCCAACTCATTGGGTTGTCGTGAACACAGAGTTCCTGGAAGAGCAGGACAGAGTTCTGTAAGGGTTTGCTGCTGTTTTGCTTACTATTATTATCACCAAGTGAACCCTGAAATGAAGAACAAAGGCAGCAAGAATTTTTATTTTAAAGGATTTTAAAATCCCATGATGAATGTTTGATTTAATCTATTCAAGTTTGCATTTGACCATTATTAACAACTACACAATGGATGACTTTTGAGGAAATGTTGCTTCATGTCTTTAATTCTCACTAATGACACAGGTTATTCAACAGGAAGCAGTTTCTTTTCCAGGAAGAGGGACAAAGAATTAACAATATCTCGGTACCTCTCGATTCCCAGTGAGTTGGTTGTGACCTGTCAACCCAACTTTGGGGAAGTGCCCGCTCCTCCTGGGCTCGCTGCGCTGCCCCGCGGCCTCCAGGGGGCGTTGTACCCCCAAACGAATCCAGTGTCTTGGTTCATGTCTTTGCTTCAGATCCCTCAAGGACTGCGCATGTCCCAGGGCCCCATCTGCCCAGCCAGCCTCGCCTGCTGGACTCCAGGACTCCAACCTGGGTTTCAACCACCCTCTGTTCCTACACCCGCACCTCTGTTCTTCACTTTGTCCATCATGTGTGGGCTCCTGTGGCTCGCCACCCAGCAGGGGTCTCCCAGTCCTCCACCTCAGGTAACTGCAACGCCCTGCATGGTTCCTAGTGAACCCGTGTGAAGGCAGGAAGAATACAGAACAACAGGTGCTCAAAGGGGCTGCCTTTCCCACTGCAGGGTCCTGGAGAGCTTTCTCCCGGCTGGTTATTCACAGGCCCTGAAGCTGTGGAATCTCTATCTCACCAATTAAAAGGGCATCATCACTAATTACAAAAGCAATCATTTTTTCAGTAGCAAAAGGAGAAAAGACTTTATGCCCCACACCTCCAACTTTCTTCCTCCGCCTTCAGAAGTGATTCTCACTCTCTGGGCAAGTGTAGAAAGCAACACACAGAATATTATTTTTTAATTTTTTCCCCAATCTGAAGATTGCTTTCCCAGAACCGATGAAGGCTAGGATGTTTTGGCTTCCCTGGACTGAGGATTCAGAGGCGCGGGGGGGGGAGGGTGATGGGGAGATAATTCAGTATTATTGAACCAAACAGAGACATTAAAAGGTTATACTCTAAACAGAAAGGAAGCAGGATGCTATACAAATGGGAAAACCATAGTTGGAAATGCAATAACGAGTTACAAGAGAATAAACTTGAAGATGTAAAATAGAAAAAGTACATCAAAATACAAAAAGGTGGGAATGGGAGACGGTCGCAAGAAAAGATAGATTTTTTTTCTCTTTCTTTTTTTTTTTTTCTCATTATACTTAGGATGTGTTGGAGCCTACATGATTATCAGTCTAAAGGAAGTAGATATAGTAATGGGTTGATATACTTGAAAAATAAGGTAACCACAAATCGAAAGCATACAGTAGAGTCGCAAAACAAAAAAACCCAAAAAGAAACAAACTAAAAATGGCTTAAAGTCTTAAACATTAGATAAGATGCTATAAACCTCTCAGAAGAAAACATAGGCAAAACATTATTTGACACACATCTCAGCAATGTTTTCCTAGGGCAATCCACCCAAGCAACAGAAATAAAAGCCAAAATAAACAAGTGGGACCTAATTGAACCTATAAGCTTTTTCACAGCAATAGAAACCATAAGCAAAACAAAAAGACAACTTATGGAATGGGAGAAAATCTTGGCAAAAGATGAGACTGAACATGGCTTAATTTCTAGACTATATAAATAGTTCATACAACTTAATTAGAAAAAAAAATAAACAACCCAATTCAAAAATGGGCAGAACAACTAAACAAGCAATTCTCCAATGAAGATATACAAATGGCCAATAGGCATATGAAAAAAAGGCTCAATATCGCTAATTATCAGAGAAATGCAAATCAAAACTACAAGAATTTATCATCTCACACTGGTCAGAATGGCCATCATTCAAAAATCCACAAACCTTAAATGCTGCAGAGGCTGTGGAGAAAAGGGAACCCTCATACATTTCTGGTGGGAATGTAGTTTGGTGCAGCCACTGTGGAAAACAGTATGGAGATTCCTCAAAAGACTAAAAAAAGACTTAGCATTTGATCCAGCAATCCCACTCCTGGGCATATATCCAGAGGGAACCTTAATTCCAAAAGATACCTGCACCCCAATGTTCACAGTAGCATTGTTTACAATAGCCAAGACATAGAAGCAACCTAAACATCCACTGACAGATGACTGGATAAAGATGTAGTATTTAGATATAAAAGAATATTACTTAGTCATAACAAAGAAGGAAATAATGCCATTTACAGCAACATGGATGGAACTGGAGATTTTCACACTAAAGTGAAATAACTCAGACAGAGAAAGATAAGTATCATATGATATCACTTATATGTGGAATTTTTAAAAATGATACAAATGAACTTATTTACAAAACAAAAACAGACTCACAGACTTAGAAAACAAACTTAGGAGTTTGGGATTAACAATTACAAACTACTATATGTAAAACAGACAAAAAACAATGATTCACTGTAGAACACATGGGAAAATATTCAGTATCTTGCAAACTATAATGGAAAAGAACCTGAAAAAGAATAGACTATGTATATGTACAACTGAATCACCATGCTATATACCTGAAACTAACAAAACAGCTGTATATCTGAAACTAACAAAACATTGTAAATCAACCACATTTCAATTAAAAAAAAGATAAGCTCTAAATACCTTTATTCAAAGAAAATCTTCAACTCTTCCCTCTTACGAAAAGTAAAATGGAAAGCTTGAGCAGGACCAAATTATACTAAATGAGAGGTTACATATCTTCACCAGCACGTGGCCTATGCTACACACACATCGTGTTTTCCTTCAGGTAAGAATGGCCCTTACTGCCCAGGGAACGAGTCCTGCTGGGACAAGGCCTCTGTGGCAGTGGCCTCCTTGTCACCGCTCCATCTCACCAGGAGGCCAGGGTTTTCGGAGGGGAGGGAACACAGAGCTCATACACTTCAGATCTATTTCCTGAGAAAATATATGGAAGAACAAATTCACCTGCAGTGCGGGAAACATGAGAAGGGCCCCTAAGCAGACCGACAAGCCCGAAGCAAGACGGCCCGTTTTTCACATAGGAACCAGAGCAACAACTGTCTGGCCCCAGTTAAACGATCATCATCTCACCTGCCATGAACTGTTCGTACTCATTGTCAGGGATGTTTCTGCTGAGACTTGAGAAATCAAAAAAGTCAGACCAGGGAATCCGGACCTGGTGGATGTCCAGGCTCTGCCAATGGTAGAGGCGGCCCCAAGGGGGTAGCACCAGTACCAATTCCTCCATTTTCAGCAGGGTCTTCAGGAGGAAGGCGATGTGGATGCAGACGCCCCTACGGAGGCTGAAGCCCTCTGGAGGGTTGACGTCACACAGAAGGTACCTGGCAAGGAGCAAAGGAGAGTGGGTCTTCAGGGCCAGGCCTCTGCACAGGAATCCCGGCTTAGATACAACAGATACAACGAGAATCCCTGCACAGCACATGGCCTAGCCTCAAGACACATTCAGCAGCTTCTGGTTTGTATAGTGGAGGCACTGCCCACCCATCTCCATGTGGCCAATTACTTCGAGTCCGGGAGCAGTTGCGGAAGACATCTTGGCATCTAACAACGCTAAGCACCTGACTAGTACCTGAGCACCCGTTCTCTAGGGGCTCTCAAGCTTCTTGGTCAACAGACCCCTGTACACTCTTAATTACTGAGGACTCCAAAAGGCTGCTGTTTATGTGGGTTAAATCTATCAATAGTTCCTGTGTTAGAAGTTAAATGAGAACTTAAAAAAAATGCTTATGAGTTCACTTAAAAATAATAACAACCTACTACATGTTACCATTAATACTCCTAAGCAAAAAATAAGTATATTTTTCTAAACAAAAATCATTAATGAGAAGAATAGCAGTGATTTTAATTTCTGCAAATCTCTTTTGGACTGGTGAGAGCTGAATTCTATCTGCCTCTACATTCCCGGTTTTGTGATATCACAGACCATGTTTTCCCTGGAAAACCCCACAGGAAACTCGGGAGAGCAAGAGTGTGCAAAAGGCAGGTGACATACCGGCGTTTCTATGAAAATAGTCTTTCACCTCATGGGCCTCGGACACACTTTGGTAAGTGCTGCCCTACCCTAGGCGTGACTCTCCTACACAAGAGCCAGGCAAGTGTCCTGGCTTCTTTAATGAGTTACCACAGCCACATCCCTCCCTTCTCTGTGTTAATGTTTCCCACAACCTCCATTACTGCAGATGACGATGTAATCCTCAACTGGGGCCTCTAATCCCAGAAGACTGCCAACCTTCAGAGGGAGGACCCATCTACCATCCCTACACCCCGCACAGTCTATTTTGAGTCAAGCCCTAGATAACTGCTAATCGGCACTGACCCTTGTCTTATTCCTGAGGTTTATCGAAGGAGCCAACATCTGGATGGAACTGAAATTTCCCTGCAGATAAACAAGGCTGATAAACCACCCCATTCCAACATCTGATTCTGGGGCTTGTCAAATCCCGGGTAAGGCCCTGCTTCATAAAAGACGGGTCCTCCACCTGCCCTTCCCGGGGGGTTCTGGGAGGCCGCGGCCACGCAGGGCTACCCGGACTCGCGGTCCCAGACCCAGCGCCCGAGAAAGAGGAAAGCCCGAGGCTGTGTCCCGGCCCTGCCCCCTCGCCCGAACCCGCTCCCCGGCACCACAGCCCCTCCCCGACTGCCACACCAACCCGGATCCCACCCCGGTCCATGTCCACTGGCCCCGCCAATGGCGCGGCCGTACGTTTACCGTCTGTGGGACGCCGCCCCAGACAGAATGTCGGCCGCCGACTGACCAGGCCAGAACTAGTCGTCCGGCCGAGCAAGACGCAATTCCCATCAGAAAGCACCGCCATGGACCCAGGCAGCTGCAGACTTCCGGAGCCCGCTGCCTGCCCCAGAAGCGCACGCCGGTCCGCGCGGAGCGGCGCCTGTCGCCCTGGCAACGCCGCGGGGCCCTCCCTAGCGCTTGCGTCTGCGTCCTCCCGAGGCTACACGTGCGAGGGCAGAACTTGCGGAGCCAATGGG